TACCGTAATTATTATTATCGCTATCTCATATGAACGTGTGCCTTAAAAATGTAGCGATGTAAATTGTATTTCTCGGAGAAACACCGAAATCAACGCAACGCATACTCCCTCGCATCTTACCGCACTTCCTCTTCTTTTTTACTACTTGGAATTTGTTTTTGGCTGCAGTATTTATAGAAATAGAAATAAAAGCATCGGCAGCTGACGGTAGTAGCGATTGTCACCGAAGCCGACGGTCGAGAGTGGCTGGGACGGTAAGCCACGCAAACCAGAGTAACTCTTTGTTTAATTTTGCGCATTTTACGTTTCTCCTCGTTCCTGTTATACGCGAACGGAGAAGTTCGCCGCTGCTTTTCTTCCTCTTCCCGTTCTTGCCACACCAAACTCTCTCTCTCTCTCTCTCTCTCTCTCTCTCTCTGTATTTGCTCGCGAGAAAAAGCTCTTCTTGTTTCTTTTTTTCATCCTTTACGTATGCTATTGTTATGTATGCGTTTTCTACTCGTATTTTCAAATAAATCACGCTACTCGAACGAGCATCCTTCGCCCGTCCACAGTTAAACGTCGATGTTCGTTTGTTGTTGTTGTTTCGTTTTCTGTTTCTGTTCCTTTCTCCCGTTTTATTTACGCGACATCTCCGTCCGATTCCCACGCACGTCGTGCGAGAGAAAATTTTAGCGACTCGAGTAGAAATGACGATGAACCCGATCAAGTTGCGATTCTACACCGAAAGGTTCGAGAAGGAGAGGAAATACTTTCGGCTGCAGGAAGAATTTGTAGCCATCGGTCGAGCGAAACCTCTGACTGGTAAGTTTTACGCGAAACACCAGGTGATCCCGGTGTCCGAAGTTCGCCAGGAGTACGTCGATTTGATCGTGAAACGGCAGAACCTGTCGCCGAAGGATATCTACACGTTCAGGCCGCCAACTGTGAACATGGAGTAGGACATATGCATATTACGAAAAGACGTTGGAGATTGTGTGGTGGGGCGCGTGAACAATTCTCACGCATTTGGAAAATTCCGTAGGTACGGCTGGTTCGCGGAACCGTTCATACCTCGAACCGACGATTCGAGGTTACGTTTTCCCATCGAACAATCGGATTTCATCGGCAACGAGCTTCGAATACGTCACCTGCAGAAAGGCTTACCGGTGGAGAAGTTTACCGGAGTACCGTTCGTAGTTTAAAAGTTCTCGAGCAATCGTTCCCGCGATCCCCGGCAAAATTCAATATCGATGTTGTGCCGCACCCGTTTCCTGGCAACCAACGCAACACCGCGATCATCCCGCTTCAACGTGCCTCCCCCCTCCGTAGACCGGACACAAGCCTGCGCGTCCTCACGTCTTGGTGCGCGTCAGCCGAGGAAACGCGAACGATCGCGAGATAAAATTGGATCGGTGGTAACGGAACGAAGCGAAGATAAAAAAATGACGGTGACAGCAGGATTGGAACGTTAAACGGAGATAGAGCTGTGCTGTGTCGGTAGACAAAGGGGAAACGCAGCGATGGCCGGAAAGGGTTTCTGCGTGAAAATACGACTGGAGCTACACGCCGTACGTACATACATATCGGTATATCGCTTTCTCTTCCAAGCCAAGTTCCAACCTAAAGGTAAACCCCGATGGACGATTTACAGGTTACGTGTCCCGGTGTATGGCTCTGCCCTAACGGCGAAGTAGCGTTGCGTATAACCAGCCTCGGTTCCACCCTCGAATCGCACAGAGTATCGCCGATTTTTCCACTATTATTTCACAACGAGTTTAACTTTAAGAAAACCTTTACACGGCTGGCTGCTTTGACAGAGTTGCAACGGAATTTGGAGCAAGAGTGTCTCTACGCGGAACTGATACAATGGCTTAGACCCTCCTGCAACCAGGCCATACTCCTGGCTACCTTCGAGACCAGCTTGGCAGACGTACTCTATCCCCCCGTCACACACTACGAACGTTTACTCGCCGGAGTAGACGTCGATCTGCTCATGGATCCAAGCAAATATTTTCCCGTTAGTATCTCCCCACCTTTTCTTTCGTTTCTCGCACCTACGATTAACATTCACCCCAACTGTGCAGGGTATTATAGCACCTAAAATCGAGATCTCTACGAAAACTGTGATAGAAGAGGTGACCACCAGTGTTTACGACGCGAACAATTACTCCGATCGGGCCTCGTACTGTGTGGTGAACCCAAAAATGATCGATTCCAAGGTAAAACGCTTAATTCGAACGTCGCTCGCGTTCGTTCAATTCAACCAACGAAACTTGATGTTTCAGCGAAAATCCAACTGCGTTCATAGAAAACGACCCACCAAAGGTATCATCCGGCAAAGAAGCGTTTGTCATAGTCGAGCAAAAGCTAGAGCTCACGCTTGCCCTCCTCCGTATGTAGTCGATGTAAGTACGTAGCAAGCGCAGGTGCAATGGAAAAATTCTTCCAGGGCGAGGTATCGATGCGAGTCCTGTAACGTAGTAGAATATTCGTGTCGGAACGAGCCGAGTCGGATCAACCAGTGTTATCATCCGACAAAACAGAAATTACAGTCGCTGCTGAACAGGATCGACGCGCGTCCCTCTGTTTGCGGCAATCTGCACATCTTCGACAGCTGTCCCGTCTGCTCAAAGTATAAATGTTACTTTTCCTGCGAATGCGGTGGTATCAGATCGAACCAAGATCCGACCGATTACCACGACTATGAGCGCCGTTGGTGTTATTACGCTCGTACACCGGACGATAGTTTCGCTTCACGCGAGCCGATCTCTACGTAAGCTTGCTAAGGTCTACGGGAGACACGATTACCTTTCGATTCGTTCAAAAAGATATCCTTTCTTTTTACAGAGTATCGCAGCAGCCAAGAATCCGACACCTTTCGCAGAGCAAGGAAAGAGCGCGTTACGCGGAGAAAGATCGTAAGGTAACCGCCGAGTAGGTTTCGTGCTCAAATCGATCCCATCGTAGAAAACAGCCTTCGTGTGATCTGCTTTGACAAGGACGAGTCTTCGTTTTTGGGTTAAGAGTCCTCTCGAGGTGTACGACTTCGTACCGAACAGCATCTCTCGATTTAACGTCCTATCCTGTGTGTGTGTGTGTGTGCGTGCGTGCGTGCGTGCGTGCGTGCGTGCGTGTTTGTTGTATAAAATGAAATTGTCACACAATGGGCAAAAAGGAAAAGAATAGAAACCAGTTTTTAACGAATTTGTAGTATTTCAGAATTTCATGCTTTTTACACGCGACACGTACATACGTATAAACGAGACGGTTTTTACAAAAATTTTCACCGACTTTACAAACCTATGACAAGTTGACGATTGAAACGTGAATAAATCCATGGTGTGCACCTTTAAATTTTAACGTATACCTGTTTTCCAAATCTATACATCGGAGTTCCTGCAACCCTCGGCCCATGAAGATACACCGATTTACTCAGCAATGCCGGACTTCTCAGATATATACCACGACCCTCGGGCGTCCACGCTTTCAAACAAGCGCTCTCGTTTTCGTGAGGCGTAACAGCGATCCAACCTGAACGATCGAAATGAAACTCGATAAAATCGCGAATAGCGAGATTTCGCGTTGAGAGGCAACTGCCTTTTGAAAATCATACCTATACTCGAGAGTACAACGTCAGCGACGGATTCACCTCTCACACCGGTTACCTTTAGCTCTTTCCATCCCAATTTCGGCCACATTTTCAATCGTTCCGGATCGTTGGCGGGTACGACGAAAGCCTCGCTATCCAACAATTCCTCGTACACTTGGTTCGCATCTACGGTGTAACACACCGTTATAGGTAGTTCTTTGCTCGCGAACAGCGTGCACCTGTGTGGCAAAAAAGTGAAGTTCGAATTCGCATGAATTCGAGTTAATTGCGTTAAACGGAAAATAAAGGAGAAAATAAAATACCGTATATAGTGTTCTCCTTCGAGATAATCCAATCTTCCCATGCCAGCTACGAACAGTGTTTGTTTCGATTTCAACATAAGCGTTCTCGGCGAGATAATTCGTTGCGGTAACGTTAACATCAATTCATCGGTCGTTAACAAATCTAGAATTTGATCCTTCTGAATAGTACCCGGAGTATCGTAGCACCATCGACTCAGCTTGTACTCTGGTTCAGATTCGTCGAAAGTCGGTTTCTTCGTCATGAAATTGTGCGACTTTTCCGAGAAAGGATCGGCGATCTCTTCTTTCAGCGAGTATCCGGTGAACGATCTACCAACTGGAGCTGTATGGAAAACGTTAGTCCAACATTTCGTACGAAATATTTTCTATACATACATGTATGTATGTACCATACCTTCTAACGTCGCGAATTCCAGGTCCCTCGTCTCTTTAAATTTATAATTCTTGTATCGCGCTGCTCTCTGTCTGTACAATCTCTCGTCGCAAAGCCTCGTTACTCTTGCCGAAAGTTTCATGCCGTTCAGATTTAAAATTGGAAATTTCAATAAATTCAATGTAGTTCCTGGCCAAGCAGACACCGTAGCGCGTTGTACAAGGTCAACAGCTTGCACCTTGCAGAAATCCGAGTTCAATAAAGTGTTGAACAATGAAGATTTTCCAACGTTCGTGCAGCCGACCAAGTAGACGTCACCTGAAACGTCGACAATATTTTTTTTTCTTTTTCGTTTTTTTCGATAATAACGAAAACGCTCGATTACGCACCCCTGTATCGCCATATGTGTTGTAACTTATTTATCAACTCCTCTACGCCGTATCCAGTTTTGGCGGACACAAGCTGCACGTGCGTAATGTTTGCCCCGTTTACGCCAGTTACATCCAGTACCGTCTCTACTAAACTCCTTTTAACGTTGTCGAAGAATAACGGAGAATCCCTGGGCAACAGATCGACTTTGTTTCCAACCAGGAAAATAGGCGTGAAAGGATGCAGAATGCTTTTCAAATTAGGCCAAATGCTACAAGGGAAATCTGTCAGATCGATCATCAATACGATCGCGCACTTTTTACGTTTAATTACTTGCAACAGTTTCGGATAATCTTCTATCGATACTTTCACTTTTAACGACGCGTTGTAAAACTTTAGGAAATGACACCTCTGACAAATCGTTGATTTCAAATATTCATCGTCGCTGTTACAGCGGAATAGTTCCGATGGTAAATAACCAGGAATCCCTGGGTCTTTACAATGCAACAAAGCACCGCAGCCGCCGCATGGAACAGGACTCACTTCTGAATCGGGATTCGGTGTACCGTAATTCTTGTACCAATTCATATCGATCGAAGTATCGTCAAAGTGTTCGTAATCGACCATCCAATTATGCGGAACCTTCCACAATTCCCCTTCCGGCGCATCCTTCAATACCTCGTCTTCACCTTTTCTCATCAAATCTTCAAACTCCAACTGATTCATGTTACTCGGGTCGCTCTTTTTTACCTCTAAATATTTCTCGTACAAAGCCTTGTATTTGTCGTTCAATACGCTTTCTTCGACATTGTCCGGCATCGAATCATCGATAGGCGTCGAATCGTATCTATCTACCGCCGCGTACGGCATATACAGAGGCTTTTTCTTCATCACATTTTTAAACATATCATCATCATCATCATCATCATCATCATCATCATCCTCCTCCTCCTTCTCTTCCGCCTTCGCTATTTCGTCTTCTCGCTCCGCTGCATCGTTTAAGGTAACGCTAAATACCGGGTGATAAGCAACCTTTTTGTATCTCAAGTTTTCCCTCCGCTGATACTCTTTCCTTCGAAACTCGGTACGTTTCTTATATCCCAGTTTTACCTTGTCAAGATCCAAATAATCGCAATATACTAATTTATCTCGGAGAGCTGCAACTTTTGGATCCGATTTACTCTGAACGCTTTTGTACGAAATTGTTTGCTGAAAGCGCGGCAATTGAAAGTTACGGCACATACCATGACTATGTGCGAATTGAAAGAACCACAGCCTAACGCTCGTATAGCGCATGATGATTCTTGCCAAGATTCCGCTAATTTCGCGACATCGGTTAGAAAAGATACTCGTTACTATTATCTATCGGCGTGTATAAATTTGCGTAACGTTCGAGTAATCGAATGTCTGTCATCGTGGACAGAATAAAAGGAACGCGTAAAAACTATCACGCCTCAACGATCACGTTTCTTTCAGTCGAATAGAAGCGAATCCGAAATACAAGTATCCGGCAACTTGTTCAGGTCATACATAACCTATAACTCGCATGTTACACGAAGGCTTGTACACACGTGAACGGAGCATCGAATCGAACGAATCGAGACTATCGATATAACGTGCTAGTGAAAACAGTCTGTCCTTTCAGATAAGTTACTGAAAATAACAAACCTGCGTTTCTATACATGCATATGTATGTAAGTGCATTTAGTTGCCGCGATATTTGAATCTATACTGTTGCAAATATTTGAAGAAAATTAGTGTCTCTATCGGCAATGAGATTCTAATCCTTTGTTCGTTTCGGTCAAATAATCGATCGATATCTCGAGATCAAGTTCGTAAATCAACATCTTCAGTTTCACACAAGCGAATCGTTAAATGACAAATTAAACCGATCGATCAATTGGTTAGATTCCCGATAAACCCTTGCATAATTTACAACTGAATTTAAATAAATCGATCACAAACGTTCCATAACGTGCGCAACAACGAAACGGTAATTTATACTATACACTTCCCAAGCTATACTTTGAACGGTGCAAAGAAAAATGAAAAAAATCGCCGTACAAGGGGGACTGGATGCACATGTGCATGTATGTATATGTGTTTAGTATGTATTTACAAGCCATGCCGGCTGCAAATGCACGAAAGTCGGTCAGGGTTGAATATCTGAATCTCGGCACGTACACCGTACCACGAGATATGTACATATGTACGTGCTACAATGATGTTTATTTATTTCGAATAGTCTCGTTATCAACATTCGTACAATGATAAATTTTTGCTACATGACTAAGTTTACATTTACCACGACCTGTACAAATAAATCCTACAATATAATTGAAAAAATTCGTAAAAGACGCACACTTCGATACATTCGGCGAAAATAAAATGTCAATTTTATGACAAATTCGATAGAAATCATGTATGTACATATATCGTGACGATGCACAAAGGTACATACAATATTGCAAGGGTGTTTTCATCAAATGCAACGAAAGCAAATGTTACTTTTTCCATGCGATTGTAAATACATACGAGCATCAACGCACCTATATACATATGTATGTATACGTATGCGCACTTCGACGTCATATTCGAAAACTAATGCACATGCATCAGGCACAGATGGCGGTAATACCATCGTTGCCAAATCATTTGTAAAACTTGGATAATAACGATAAGATTGTAATTAGAAACGATAGAGCATAAGTGGGGTGTAAAACGTATCCTCAAAGTGGATTCAATGTTATATAAATAATACGTAAATGCATACATATGTATCAGTTTCATAACGAGAGTTTGCATAAAAATAGTTACAAACCAATGAAAAATAAGAATCACCAGGAATCCCTCCACCACGTTCGTCTCATCGACTTAACACTAAAATAGATCAACATGGAAAAAACATAGAAACAGTTATCGACAAAGCGTGCGTGATTGGTGACATGTACACATATATACGAGGTCGACGAGTTTAACTCGAGTCAGTGGCACAGAGGTCGTGCAATTTCATTTGCGGTAGTACATAGTCCCATACAGGGGGAGAGAGATGCAAATTTTTTGTACTCTTTTTTTCGTGAAACGCAAACGTTCGAGTGTTCGATGAAACAAACGAGCATACAGAGAGGACAAATTTACCGGAAGTGGTCGGGATGCAGAAAGCAATCGAGCTCGTTTCATGGGCACGACAAAGCGTGCGTCTCTTCGATCGTAAGTGTTGTATGCATACTTACGTATACATATCCGTATACATAAGTAGGTACCTACATATGTAGCTAGATAAAGGCGCGGGCGCGCGCACAAACAGTGCTATATACATAGGTAAAGCTCGTTACGCGCAGTTGTTATTCTTAGTAGACTGGAAGAGCAGAGGGCCAAGGAGAGCGAGAAGAATCGCTCGCGTCAACTGAGAAAATATTGCGGATGGTCAGAGGATCATCGATTCTCTTGCCAACTACCGATAAAACCGTCCGCGCCAATTAAACCTTTATGCCAATTAAAGTCGGCACACTGGACCGTGACAAAATTGAAAATCCTTCCACCTAAACGCCTTTTCGATGTATTCGACGATGTATCGCTTGAAATTGAACGAAAGTTTCATAAAGTTTTTCCATTCTTCTCCTCCTTTCCCGACGAATACAAAGAATAAGATACTGGAAAGAGGTTAACTCGTAAATACGAAGCCGTTTGGTTACACAGCAGGTGGGGACAGGTGTTTCAATTTTTTCGCAGGCCCGAACAAACGAAGAAATTCCGAATGAAAGCACGGACTATGACATTTTGTAGAAACGTTTAAAAGCCAGACGAATAGGAGATGCTCGTGCTTTTGTTCCGGAATAGGGAAACGTAGATAAACGAAAAAGAATTATCGTAAGGGAAGCTGCTCTTTTTCAGTTGCTCCCAAGCATACGCACAGATGCGCGTTCGGGTTGTAGAGAACGAAACGTAGTCGATCGCAAAAGAAGAGCGCTGTTCAGCAAAAATCCGAATTCATCGACGGAGAGTGCGGTGGTGGGTCTCGCGCGCTGAACGTGAGTCACGTGGAACGTGGAAACGTAAGAACGTTGGAATAGAGGAGAAAGGAACGAGGGGAGTAGCCGCGAGCCAGCGCAGCGCAATGCAACGCGACGCGACGCGAAGAATCCGTAATCAAACGTTAGACGTTGCACCGTGCGTTCAGCATTTAATAATCTAACCTCAGGGTTCGCGTTTCTCGAAGTTTGTTCATTGCTAATCGTCGAATTCGCGAGGAACTCAACCGATTTCCGTGTTGGGTCGAAAGGAAACGACTTTGACTGGAGGTATGGTATGGTCATGGTCACGCGGTAATGCGAAGCCGCACGCCTTTACGAATGATGCAATAGGTCCTCTAAGAAAGAAAACACGCGATAGGTTTGCCTGATACATACATATATCGGAGACAGGATCACAACGACGGGGCAACCGGCAACGACGCGACTGCTCGTTAATATTTTAAAGGCACGATCGTGCGATCGAGCTTGCCGACGAGTCAATAACCTCCTAGTGAAATGTACACCGTTGAAGCCGCGTTATTAATGTCTCGTCGATTTCTAACCTAGTTTTCGACCCGTCCAGTCCCGTCCCATCCCATCCCATTTCGTTTCGTCGACAGAAGGTTTTTCAGGTCGCGCGCAACAGTCGTTCCTATCCACCAGCAGAGTCGATTTTTCGCTCAACTTTGAAAGCGGGAGAAACGAAGGAAGGAGAACTTGTCGATTTCACGCTCGTTTATAGAGGTACATATAACCTTACGTATGCATGTACGTATGTACATACAGTTCCTTTTGCAGCAAATAGTTCAGCGTTTGGTAACATTGTAATTAGAATTTTTTATATAGACGCAGGAAAATGAGGATCGAGTAAAGAGCATTGGTTAAGCCATGAACGAATTAAGTAATACATACATATGTATGTATCTGGCAGTTTTAATCGACGAGAGAAGTGAACGAAGAATGGAATGACGGTCGGTCGGTCGGTCAGACAGTCGAACGATCGATAAACGGCGAGGGAAAGTATGATATTTCTATACGCTCGTATTTGTATTTGATCGATGTGTAAGCACCGCTTGAAAAAAAGAATTTAACTCAGCATAGTGTGGTATCCGAAAATGTATTTATTCTATATTCCTAAGCGACTGTTAAGGATTCCGGCGTCCGTCTCGCTCGATGGCTATTTCCAGAGTGTCCTTTCCGCGTCGTATCCCACGTTGCTCCGAAAAACTGTTGGAGCCCCCTCGTTCGACTTTCCGGGGAAAGGGCTTAGTTTATGGGACCCTCAGGTACCCGCGCGCTTTCTCTTCCTGGGTAACAAAGTCCAGGCCACCACTTCGCCGCCGGAATCTCGCATTTCTTACAGATGAAACGTACGATAATTTGGAGAAGCCGTCGTATGATCGCGAAACGATGTAGATCGTCGTCGAATCGACGTGAATTGGTGATGAAAAAAGGTGACCGGTTTAAAGCAGGCGAAACTGCGTCGCGTATGCGCGACCAGTTACGCGACGCCAAGTATACGCGTAGTACGTAGTCGGTTAAAGCGCTTAGACGATTACAGGTTGTAGATCTGAAACCTTTCGAACGCGGTCTTTCTAGTTGCGTCAGCCGAGTTTTCCATTTCTATCGATCGATTCTGCCCGATTTTTCCTACATTTTTGCCAGTTCGAAGACGAGATGACTCGGAAACTGCTAAAGATGGCATAGAAACGCGCACAAGTGGAGTTCTACGACGCGGTAATTTGGTCGATTGCCTTCGAAACTAAAATGAAACGATAGAATGTGTCGAGTTGGCACGTTCGCCTTTGGTAAACACCAATCTACCATGCATAAATTATCTCGTCGCGTATAGAGTATTATTATGCGCGTAGATAAGGAGCCGTTGCCGCTGCCGCGTGTACGCGGGCACGGACACGGACACGGACACGGTGGCGTGAAGCAAGAGGGCGGGGCATGAACGTCGCGTCAGTTACATGGAAGGAAACGCCTGCGTTGGGGATCGGACGTCTTTTAAATTTCGACTCGACTCTATTCGGATTTATTCGTGACCAAACGACTCTTCTCTGTTTACGCCGTTTTGCTCGGTCGACGTGTCCTACGGCTATTGCTACGCGTTGCGCGTAAGTACACATACGATACGGCCTTTTATCGTTTGCGCTGTTTGTTTATCCTGACGGTAGCGAGTCATGAAAGCGCCGAAATCTTGTCTCGAAATAACTACTTGTATAGAAATGTGCGCTCGGTCATAGACTAGCGGTATATTTATTTGCGTATATAAATACAGAGAGAGAGAGAGAGAGAGAGAGAGAGAGAGAGAGAGAGAGAGAGAGGTATACGATTCATAACATTTCCTCTCTGCTGCGTTCTTCTTTTTTCCGTTAAATATAAAAAAAACATTCACTTGCAAGGTTTCTGGAGAATATCACCACTGTTTCCCATCCTAATTCTCAGACCCTCTTGAACAACGGTACGTGACTTGGCCAAAAGCACGAGGATTAGCTAGTCCGTGGGCCTCCACCATAAATTACGCTCTTTCCAACACTAATCTAAATTCTATCTCTCCGGTTTCACCTCACGGAATCACCTATGCAGGTGTAAAAAATGGAAATATGTATATACATACGTATACATTTACGTACTTGGGTATACACTAATGTAGCCGAGCTCGCTTGAACAGCGCACAGGCCCCCAGTCCAGTCATCGCGTACCAAAATAGAACATAATGTGTAACTGCGGTCCTTCTCTTCTCTCTCTCTCTCACTCCCTCCCTTCTCCGTTTCTTCCACGTACAAGTGTTACCTATGCGTCGATTACGAAGCAAAGCCGTAAAAACGCGTTCTTCTTTTTCTCCTTGATCGTTCGACTTTGTTGCAACAAAGTACATACACGTACACAAAAGAAATATGTTGTGTAGTCGTTTTCGAGAGGAAAACGGGTCCAAATCGCTTTTATGCCTCTGGCACGTTTCCCGCGCTTAACGTATCGTTATAAATATCATCCACGCTAGCTCTTTGCCGACGGTTTTCGACGCACGAATCTTTCGCGCGAGGTTACATCGGAGACGATAAAAGTGGATAATTTAGCATCGGTGAGCGATCACCGTGAGATAAGGCAATTGGTCCAAACAGTTTTTATTCCGTAGAACGGTTTCAACAGTGTTTTCGAACTCATAGATATATAGAGATATACATAGATGGTGGTCGTCGTCGTCGTTTACCTTATCCCCACCCAGGAAATTCGTTTGGTTAATTAAAAACCCGGGCCTCGTTCAGGGGTAATACGCGTTTAATACTTATCGTTCCTCACGCGTGTTCCAAATCAGTGCGATAATGGAAAAAAATATTTCGAGGAAGCAATGAAAAAATTATTCCCCTCCTCGACGGGGCAAAGTATTTACTACCTTCTGCTCGAACGTAAGCAGGCTGAAACGCAACGGAAATATATGTAGAAAAAGTTACGCAAACAACGATCCACTCCGAAAAGAGCTTTCTTCGCGCGTTCGTTTTTCGGGTTGGCGATCAAAGGAAAAACGTTTATGCGAAAGGAAAGGGAAAGGAGATGGTAATCGGTGCAAGTAGCTGTGCGCGGTAAAGGCTACGATAAAGTCAAGGCTTTAGACCAGTGCATGTATGCACTTACATACCTACATACAGCGATAGTCGAATCGTATCGGTTCGATGGAATTTCAGAGGCGCGAAGAACATCGACATGATCGATGCACCAGCCGTGTACATATTTACACCCCCTTCCTCTCGGGTCAAACAAGTTCGTTGCCCCTTTTCGCACAAGCGTATCGCGAACCAGTCTTCCGGTTTCCTTTCGCGCTTTCGTCGTCTGTCGAAGCTTACTCGAAAAGCGGATATACCTAGAGTACGTATATCTGTTTGTAAAAGCGAAAGTTAGGAGATATGAGTGAAAATGGTGAAAAGAATAGACGTTTAAAGGAGCAGAGTCGTGTATGAAAGCAACGTGTGTCGGTGGATCATACGGTTAATGGACCGATCGGTTTCGTTCTGGCACGTGTATTCATACGGCGGCGGATTCGGGAAGGTGTTTGGTTGGTTGGCCTTGACGTGGCGTGGCGTGGCGTGGCGTGGAGTGGAGTGGAGTGACGTCACATTGTACCGCGTGGCGGTTGGCATCCAGAAATAAGCATGGTGGGCAAAATCTGGAGAGGTCGAAGACCACCACCGATTCTCTGCTCACCGGAATTAATTCTACCGTCTCGTCGCGTCGCGTCATTTCAAAACAAGTTGTATCGGCTAGATCTGAGTCGTTGTAAGTTCGATAACAGGGAACCTTATAATCGAGGATAAGAATACGTTTTGAAACGAGGTTAATCATACTGTCCACAACATTCGTTTGTTTACGTCACAACTCTCTCCCTCTCTCTCTCTCTCTCTCTCTCTCTCTCTCTCTCTTTCTCAACGGCTTACCTTACTCTTACGACACACCAGCTTATCAATTATGTATATGTTTATACTCTGCGAGACGTAAACATTGCGCGTCTTATTCCGGCCGGGGCCCACAACTGAACGTTTCCATGGTTGCTGGCGCCATCGCAACTGACTCCACTCAGCTATTACATATTACATGTACACGTTTCTTTGCTCTTCTGCTGTCCTACATGAACGGTAGATAATTGAGAAGAATCCGGTTCGCGAAGACTCTTCTT